CCGTTGCATGGATACTTTTTTTTTCTAAAACCATGGTGGTTGAGGAAAAGAAGTTGCATTGATTCAGGTATGAGATAATGTTAGTATAAAAACATGTTCCATGACCTTACAAAGAACCCTAACGAGCGAAATATATCTGTAGTTAGATAGATTTGATTTATCGCTTGATTTGAAGATGGGTTTATCTCGTCGAAGCGCCGGTCACAAGGTACGTCACCAGAACTAAGATTCTGCTGGTAAAGAGCGGCGAGCATATTTGATGCGGAGTGCTTTGTTAGTTTTGAAAACTTGGCAGATATACCGTTAATTCCAGGGGTGCCGTTGGAAGACAGGTTTTTGATTGCCCTGAGGATTCAATCAGAACTGAGTAAAAGAGAAGGCATAGCTATTCCCTGATAAGTCAGAATGTAGAAGGGCAGTCGAAAGATTTTGTGGGTAAAGACCATGGAAAAGTATGAATTTAATAAGTTGGGGCAGCCTGGTCTTCACTGCGGGTTTCGCCTTGATCATTTACAAACAAAGGGATATTTTTGGTGTTTTTCTTTTTTTGGAATTCCTCTCTTTCATAACCTTTTAAGATCCGTAGAAAGAATGTTTTGTAAAGTGACCGAAAATGATATTACCTTTGCTTTTTTTTACTTCAGATTGGCACAATTTTGAATATAAGCGATATGATGACCAAGCAGACAACTCGCCAGTTTTCTTTGCGTTCGCGAATAACCTGGGAGACGCGCTTTGAGATCGAACGGACGTTTTAGGCACAAATATTTCAAGCTATCCATGAACGTGTTTTTGATGATAACCCAGTTTTCACTTGCGGATCATTTGCCATGAGATGACATGTAATACTTCTCAAAATATTTTATTGCTGACGGGATGCCTTCGATGTTTGCACGTGAAAAAGCAGATATTTGCTTCGGAAGATTGGTTGAGCGGGTTAGTTTTGTGATGATTCGACATGAATAAGAGCGGGATCATTTAATATTTTTATAATACCAACATACGTCACACATTTCGGATTCCTGGTTAGAAATCAATATAATATAGCGGGAGTACGTGATGTTTTGGTGATCATTTGGTAAAGGCTATAAATACTTGCTATTGAAAGAAACTCTGCGCAGTGGCGAGAACTTGCGCATACTGGAAGGGGCATTAAATGCGCACTGGCACGTCAAAAACATATATTTTTTTTTTATTATCCGAAAAGATTGAAAACAATGCCTGGACATTACGCTTAATATTTGAAACTTGGGGATTCAGTGTTTGTGAAGTAGAAAAACAATTTTTGTTTTGTCAAATATTGAGCTCTCCTGCGAGTCGAGTTTCTTTCACGCCTCCGCTCCAAACTGCCGTTGCCGCCGCGACCCGAAGTATCCCGGCGTACCGGGAACAACCGGCTTCCTCCTTGTTAAAAATTAAAACAGCGCAAGGACACGGACAAGAGCAAGGTAGATGAACAAGTCGCTGTTCGCCTACCTTCTTGTTCTTGTCCGTGTCCTTGCGCTGTTTTAATTTTTAATCATAAAATACCAACTAGCCCAAACGTCTACGTTAGTCAAGCGTTTCCTCCGTGCGTGCCGTGCCGCCTATCGCTGCGAGCAGACGACGCTTGGCGTCTTGCCGGTTCTCCGTGAAAGGCTTTTCCGGCGGAGTCACGACCGAAACTACGATACAAAGACCCAGCTGTTTTGACCGTTTGACGATTTTCTTTTCGAAGTCTGAGAGGTCGTCGGGCACCTACAAAAGACCACTTTGTCCGATTCCCCGACTCACCTATCACCCTCTGCTACATGCGTTGAGCGCCGCCATGTTTTCCGAAAGAGGATAAAACGCCACGAGGCGACATCACACAGGACTCTGATTTTTGGTATTTAAAAAAGAAGGGCCGTAGCGCGTTGGCAATTGCGTTAAAAAAAAAAAAAAACATGTTTTACGATTGCCGTTATTAAATGTTAGAGAAATGTCGCCCACAAAGCTTCTCAATTTCATGATATTTGACGTCAAAAATAAAAAAAGCGAGGAAGTGAAAAGCTGGAGAGAAAAACACACACAAAAAAAATGAAAAGGCGCTCGCTCGCGCGTGGAAAGTTTTTTTTGCGTTGCTGTATTTTTCGGCGTACAACTTGCATCGTTTTAGACAATAAAAAAAACATACAATTTTTGGGGTGTCAGTGCCCCTTTAAACGACGACCAGTTTATTTATAAGTAGTTAAAATCGCCTGCAAAAAAACATGAATGATTTGGGAAATTTTGGTTCCGGCTCCTAGAATATTGTAAAGCGAAATGTTGAATTCGGCGTGATTAACATGGCATGGACGATAACAAGCATCTACCAAGAAACACAGAAAATTTAATTTTACTTGGATCAAAAGCACTTCAAGATCAGATGAACATTCAATTTGGCAGCATGATACAGCTTTTTTAACTGCGTTGATTACACCTCCAACCCCTGGCGAGTTGTTTGTCTCTCCTTTAAATATTATAAGATCGATTTAAGATTAGTTCTTTATTTTTGATATCGGAAGTTAACCCGGTCTCAGTGCCAAGAATGACGCTGCAGGCTCGCTAAGGACGTGATGTTTTCAAGTTCAACTTGTTTTGAAAAAAATACCTCTGAAGTTAGCAACGATGAACGAAATATTAGCGGTAAAAGTGCGCTTTAGGGACCGCGTTTTCCCCACCGCTAAGACCTCCGCAACTAAGAAGCCTCTACCGCGCCTGCGCGCCGAAAGCCTTGACTGTTGAGTTCCGGGTATCGTAGCGGGTTGCGGAGAGCCTTTGCGGGATGGCGAAAACGATCTACGAAAACTCCCTATTCAGGCTCGCCGCCACTGTATAGCGGGCTCGTTGCGCCCATTGTACCGACATCAGCTCTTCTCACTCAGAAACATGATGCCTAGCGGCGTCGGCATCACCTGACGGGGACTTCTCCTATTCAGGTACGCGATAGCGATCGAGCGAGATCCCTACTGGCATTTTCAAATAGGAAAGGACCAATGGTAAGAAAGGGCACAAAAACGAGGTGTTTTGTTTCGAAAGACAACTGACTAGTGTCAATCGGCAATCTGCCAGATAAAGCTTTCCTTTTTTTTTTTTTGTCGGTGTACAGCGTAATTCGATGGATGAAGCAGGTTATTCGGCACAGGCAAGTCATTTTGCTGTTTGTGCGGACACTGATAAGGTTAAGTAGAAAATTATGATTGTTTTATTTAATAAGATGCTCGGGACCCACCACGCTCTACGTTTATTAAGTTGTCAGTGGCTATATATTTCATCCCGCAAAACACGCGTCCAAATATCGGATAAATTTCACCTTTTTGTTTTTTTCAGGGCTTTAAAATTTAGCATGAAAGAAATGCGTGTTCACGTGGAGTATTTTTATCTATATTTTAAGCTTTTTAAGCATAGTGTAAGCTCGCCAGAAGCACGAATCCGTGGAAAATTTTTTCCTAAGTTGTTAAAAGCAATTCGAAACCACATTAAAAGCATACCGTTGGAAGCGCGACGAACACATCGAGTTTGGTAAAAGTTTATTGATGATTATTTAAAGCGCTTGATTCAAAACAATGAGGCGTGCCCATTTAAGAGAAGCAAAAGCGGTAGGCTTTCAAATTATATAAAGAAACCTGCAGGGAAAAAAATAAAAGTGTGATTAGAAATTTGGAGTACGGTGGTGGAACAAAGCGGATTTGGATAAGGGAAAAGTGTGACTTGAAAGCTTCCGGCCATAGAATGAACTTTGACAACTGCATTGCATTGTTTGTTTACCCAACTACTTGAGCATAAGCGATTTTGTAAAAGTAACCGTAAAAACTAAAAAATTCAATTTTTATTTTTAAACATAGCTTACAATAGCTGCTGTTTTTTAAAAGAATATTATCAGTTTCATTGAAGTTAAAAATTGAACGGTCAGACATGAGAAAACAAAATTGAGTTAGACGTATTCTACCACGTGCAACAGATTAACTTTTTTTTTCTTTTAGATATAAAAAAGTCAGTTTAAGTTTTTTTTTTTTTAAGGCAGCTTTGCTCATACGGGAATTCAGCTATTACTTGGAGGCATGTGTACCAATAACTACAACTCTATTAAATAGCCATGAAATACATTTTTACATGGTTCTTTTCTTTTTCTAGAACATCTCTTCACAATAATCAAGAGATATTTGCCAGCTATTACTATAAAAAATGACCCGTTGAAATATGAACAAAAACACTGGGCAGAGCCTTTGATTAAGAACAGAAGCTGTAAGGCCAAAGGGAAAAACATTGACACAACATTGCGAGAACAAGAGAGAGCGAAAAAAACAACAACAACAGAAGAACAGCATGGGAGAGCTCCGTCTATTTCATGCTGCGCTATAGTGACGAAACCTTTCTTAAATTTCGCCCATGTTTTATCAACTTATTCCGTGTTTTCTGTGTTTCTTTTAAATTATTGCGAGATATTTTTACACTAGAAAGCTCTGGTGTCTATTGTTTGTCTCTAATTATATTGCATCAACACCATTTACTTAAAACCGAGGAATTGTCATTTATATTGGCGAGAGCGAATTCATAGATATGCTTACGATAATCTTATCAGCAAGGTCACTTCCTTCATGCACCGGTACAAAATTTTGTTTACAGTAAGATAAACAATGTCCTTGTACTAATGATTATGTATCTGTTGTAGATGTATCCTAATTTACTTTGCGATTCCTAATTTTTTGTTGAAACTAAGTAACAAATGTAGTGTTTTATCATAAACTTTTCTGAAACAAATAGTTAGGTGGTTTCTCGAACGTTTTTTTACATCTTAACAGAGCGCTCCTCCCCTTTCAGAATAAGCGAACTTCCAGCTAACATGAATTTGAAGCGAAACAAAAAATCGCACATACGTCGCTTTTTTATGTGATAGCAAGTACTTGCGTGAATTCTACATAAATGTTCACGTTGCACTTAAGTCATACTTTGATGCCATTGGGAAACTTTCTGCAATTTTCATTTAAGGGCAGTCAGTCTTATTTGCAATCGCTCGTGTAGTATACATTCCGTGGCTTCTCCGACAACAGTGCAAGGAGGAGTTCACAAGCACTGGCAATGCCGTCTGGTTTCTGGTGTAACCAGAGCTCGTATTCCTCTGTAATAAAACGCATCAAGTTGTTAACAGACTTTGCACGAGAAGATCAGAAATCAGGGGCAAGTCGTTTGATTATAGCTTGGATATAAAAACTGTTCGATTTGAGCTAACGACAGCCTTTTAAGCCAGTTCACATCTTTCACACGTTGCTAGACGGTTTTCGACAAAATTATTTTCATCGCTAGAGTTCTGCATGTTGGCATTTTACTCGTCCAGGGGGGCTAAGCTTGACTTCGGCGAGAATCTCCGATGCGACGTAACGGAGAAGGGGAGGAGCTTCTTTTGACTCCGCATTGGCAAGTTTCCGACTCCTGCTCTTACATTTCCGATCCCACCATAAAAATCGGTAACAGCATGGACGTTAATTATAAAAAAGAAAAAGCTTGGATATGGGCTAATTGGATAGACATTGTAATGGTTTACTGCAATGCGTAGATGCAAGAAAAACGCACTTGATAAAATTTAAACTAAAACAGATGATAGAAGAAAAACAACATACATAAAATGGCACAGACTCACAACTGTAATTTCTTTCTCAAATTTGTTCCTAATACCGCCACAAAAACTCAATGTTTTCTTGTTTTTTTTTGTTTTTTTTTAGATACGGTGGGGGGGAGGGGCGAAAGGTGAGAAAGAAATTACACAGTCGTTAGTCTGCGCCATTCATGCATGTTGTTTTTCTTTATCCTTTAGGGGGATCGGTGGCCGAGTGGGCTAGCGCGCACTAGATCGGAGCACGTGGAGTGAAAGCAGGTGCTGCAGAATCCAGGGATCCTGAGCTCAATCCCCACCCCTGCCCGTTTCGCTCTGGATGAATCGTACCGGCATGCGGTCGTGTATCACTACTGCGTGGTGCATGTTAAATACCCCCAGGCTAGCGGTTGTACCGCACTGGTTAAATTGCTCATCTACAGCTGAGACACCAGGCGCCCACTAAGGCAGACTTCCGGCTGCATAAACATACACACAATTTGCTTTTTTATCCTTTTTTATGTTTAAATTTTATCGAGTGCATTTTTCTTGCATCTACGCAGCACAGCAAACCATCAGAATAATTGTAAAAGCATGTAGGTAATGATAAATTGTGTTCCTGGCTGCAAATTGCAGTAAATTCAGATTTGTTTGTAGGGTTCACAACAGGGACGACGGTCCGTGCACGGCTCCATCGTCTCAAGTCTGGATCGCCACGCAGTTCGTTGCACAGCCACCTTACCGCGCCTTTCAAGAGGCGATAGTGTTGTTGAAAATTAACGTCGTCCATGTCAAACCCGTTGCAGTGGCTTAAATACCTACACCGAAGGCGAAACACGAACAAAAACGCCATTTTGGCCACGTCTCCCTTATTTCGCGCCATACTCGCGTAGGTCGGAGCCGCGGCAAGCTTTGCCGATCCTCGCCGGGATCAAGGCGAGTTCGGCGGAGAACTCGCCTTGATCTCTCCGTGCCGAGCTTAGCCTCCGTAGTCTGCATCTCTAATCGCTGGCAGCTCCAGAAACACGCCCAAATGAGCTGGCAGCGTTAGCTGCTATAAAAGCGAGGAAAAACAAATTGCGAAGCATAAAGAATGATCATAAAAAGCCACGTTCTGAGTTTCTTTAAGTTGTCAGTAAGTATAACATGATGCCTGCGGTTAAAGCTTTGTACTGTCGCACCCCTTTTCTTGTTTTACGATTGCTTTTCTGTTGAAAGTTTTCGGAGCATTAGGAACATTCGTTACGCGCATGCTAACTTTTGTCCTGGCAATTTGTACTTCAGATACAGTAACTTTAAATTTTAAGTTTTTTTTGTTTTTAATTAACAAAGTGTTATGGGGCGAATGAGAATGCATATTAAACAAAGCAGACAACGCGTGACAGAACGCCGTGTATTAAACCAGCGTAGTTCTGCGATATTTAACCACAATAAAAATTTTAGAGAAGGAATTTTTCCGTTACCGTTACGTGACTGCCGCTCTTTTAATGAAACTGATGTATTATAACGACGCTCAAGGACCCCAGAATAATGTTTCCGACGTTCCTAATGGCAAATATTTAAGCATAAAGTAGCAACGTTACGACAGAAACAGATGAATAACAAAATGTTGCTCACCTTCTTCGTCATAGTAAAACAACGCACATGTAGAGTAATCGGAGTAGACAAGGTACATCTTCGCTATTTCTACAAAAAAACAGGATTAAACGTCGATGTATTGTCCACTAGTGTTGATAGGCGATATCACATGCGAAAATTCAGCCAAGGCGATATCCACCTTCTTGGTATACGTCGTCATCAACCTTCATTAAATTGCTCACGTGATATCCCGGCCCTTCTTGTGGTGTGAGGTATAAACCAATTTCCTCTCTGAAAGTAAGCGATATTATTCCTTTCAAGGCAATTGCTGTTTTTATATAACATGCAGCCTTACAAAATTAGATGAATCTTAATTCAAAGGATAAATATGGGAGGCAAAGAATGTTCAGCGGAAGGACGCGTGAATTTATTTCCCTATAAATAATTATCACTATTAAGCGATTTCATCTTAAGTCGTGCAAGAAAAAAATGATGGATACTCGAAATTAAAAAAAAAAGTATATATTGCTGTAAAATGTTTGGCTAGAACAAAACTGCAAATTATAACTACACAAATAATTTTTGTTCTTCAGTTGTAGGCTTCGAAAGAACAGAAGGGCTTCAAAGGGCCTGTCATATTTGCAGTTTTCACGAGTGACACACTTTGGAGTCTCGAAACTTTTAGACTCTTTTTTCTCCCAAGAATTTTAACATCGTTACTGCTTTAAGACTTCATATAAAAGGTTAAAATTCTATAGAAATGTGTGTTCTTATTTTGTATTATGAAATTTAAAAAAAAAAATAATAATCTTGCATTTTTGACAATAATAGGCCAAGTTTGGAGCCGGGTTTTGATGTAAAATTATTTAAGGCCTAAAAAACCTATCAAATGAAAGCTTGGCCCCAGGCTTGGTGCGCAATATTGTAAAAAGTTTACATAAGCATTGGGACCAGAATTACTGGTTTATTTGGCAGATCGACTAGATGGCCTGGATGTTTTAATACTAAGAGAAACAAACATTGAGATAGCGGCCTGTAACTTGTTTTTTTTTTATTTTTTATATCTATTGTAATTGTATATCTATTCGCCTCGATATTAGAGTGCCTTCATACACACGCGCGCTTTTGCTTGAGTGGTGACATCTCAGCCATTTTTCCACCCCATCGTTTTTTATGCATTTTGAAGTGCGCGCAATCCGGTGTCATTCAGCTCGAGCACGTAACTTTGGCTAATGCATAGACGCCATTTTACCACCCAAGTCACGCACCGAATGCGCCAGAGCGTCACGCGCTGGCACATTCAGGGCAACGATGGATGTCTTCACCCTGAGACAGACAGATATGTAAGCACCCTACTCGGGATCGAACCGTGTCGCCACCGTGCGGCCGAAATTGGAAACATGCTAAAGCTGGGCTACCACCGTGCGGCGTCTGCTACGGGCGCACGTTCAGAAGCATGAATCTCGACGACGGAAGCCCGTTTCCGGCTGAGCTGAACCCTCCTTGTTAAATGTTTGATGTTTTTTGCTGTTCTTTCTTCTTACTAAATTGTACCCTTAGGGGGCGCCACCAAGCAGGGAAAGTCGAAACAAGACGACGAGAAACAATTACGTGATGCGGGACACAGGTGTGGCCAGAGTAGGCGTCGGCATCGTGCATACAATGAAACGTCAACAATAAATCACAAATATTGCATGGTGTCAGAAGTGTAAGCGATAAAGGATCCACTGAAGCGCCGTGAGCACCGAGCGCGACCATGCAGAATCCTCCAGGAGCATCGGAAGTACCGCGCGCAACCAGGCAGAATGCGTCGGGATCGGGAGTACCGATCACAAACGCAAGTATCCTGACAAGCCTACTGCCGCCACCCCGACCGTTGGACCTGAGTGGCGACCTGGAGCAGGCGTGGAAGATGCGGTACGAGGAATTCACGTTGTACTCGGCCACAGGCCTCAAGACTCAAGACCCTGCAGTACAATCGGCCACGTTTTTGGTGATCATTGGTGAGTACGCACGTCGCGTCTATCATACATTCACGTTCGCAAATGAGGCAGACCGACACGGCCTGTACACTCTAATAGAAAAGTTTCACGCACACTGCAAGTCGACAGTGAACCAAACGAACCGAAAGTTTCTTTTTGGAATGCGAAATCAGAAACCAGGAGAGAAGTTCGACGACTGGCTGACGGAGCTTAGCACGCTTTGCCGCGGACTGCGACTTGGGGTCAATTCACGACAGGATGTTGCGCAGTCGAATCGTACTTGGAACACTTAACAGGAAATTACAGCAAAAACTCATCAACGAAGATCCAACGTTGGAAAAGATGATCCAACAATACAGAATGAAAGAGAAAGAGCTGAACAGTTTCGACAGATACAAGCTGCCAAGGCTGCAACAGCGACGCAAGAAGTAGGCGCACTTTCAGGAGAAAAGCAGTCTTCTCGGTGCAGGTACACCGCTCACACAGGTGGAACATGCCCAGCGAAAACAGCCAAATGCAAGGTATGTGGACGCAAGGGACATTTCGCGCGGGTGTGCCGTACGACAAAAACGACAAAGAAACAAGGTTCCCGAGAGTTGTATCGTTTCAGACGCGTGGAAATTTAGCAAAGCGGTAAATATTAAGTCAGTTGTTTTCTTAATCTTTGTGCTGTGGTTTGTACAACCTTTGGTCCTCCATATTTTTGTTATCTCGCAAAATCTATGGCTTTCACAAAACTTTGAATCTCGTTTGGAGCTGGGGGTTAATTTACAAATTAATCCGACTGCTCACTACTTTTTAATAGACTAATCAATGAATAAATCTGTTAATTGATTATTCTTCAGTCATTACATGAAAGATGTTAAAACTGCCCATTTTTTACTATTTTTATTATGTCATAAATGGCATATTGCATTCCCATTTTAAACTTCACGTTGTGACGCCTACAGAAATAGGAATACGGAAATCCTTTTAAAGGGAAGCAATTTTAAAGTTATTATTTAAATTGTAAATCACCCTCGATGACAATCGCCAGTATGCTGAAGGGGTTTACCGTGCAAAAATCATAAATATTAAAATGGTAATCTTTTTTTTTTTTTACTTTTTTACGTTTTTTTTTTTTTTTTTTTTTAGCACAGGATTCCGATTAAACGGAAAAAAGAAATATCGCAATTAAAGCATCACTCGAATAATCTGAAGGTTAATCAATGAACTGCCCAGTCCGGATATGCCCTAGGTGAGCGCGGAGGGTGATCGGAAAGTTTCTTGAGAGTAGCTAGCCCTTCTCAGTAAAAAAGTGTCGCTGCGACCAATGTTGTCTGTGTCGTGGTGTGAGTAGATTGTTAGAGTAACAGAGTCTACTTTGTTTTAATAGAAGATTATTTAGCCAGAAATTTATAATATTAGCCTCTTGACATCTGCGGCCCTCACTGAGAAAATTAAAGCTGATGAACCCACACTACCGAGAAAAGCATCTAATAATACGCACGCTACTGCACTCATCGGTTACACTCGTTTGTTCCTCTCGTGGCAGATATATTATAATAGTTTGTTTCACTTGTTTCAGTTTTACTGCCAACGAACATTTTCCTGATCGTAACTAGAAGAGGCACACTCTCCTCATCGCAACGTAGAATTGTTCCGACTTCGAAAAACTTACCCATGCAATGGCACAGTAAAGGGAAATATTGGCTGCAGCGGAACTCAACAGCACGGTGATTTCCAATACAGCACTAACTTCTCTTTTTTATAAATGTTTATATTACTGCAAAAGCTGGAAGTTAAAAATAAATGCATAGGACCTGCGATTTCACAGCTCACAGTACCAGCATTACGTTATCCGGGTTGGAATTCATTGTTTTGTTGAATTCCCACGCTCGCGAACCGATACATCTATTTTAGAAGAAACAAATATTTAACCTAAATAGTGCAGTTCACCCGGAGATAGGCATCTGTCGTGGTGATCCATGCTTCCCAACGTCTGCCCAGAGCAGATGATGTATCCAAACAAGTGATTATTTAAATTTGGGCCGTTCGCTGGTGACACGATTCGATCTTCACTGAAGCACCGAACAATACCGCATCATTTTCCGCTAAAATTATTTTCCCACTGATACTATGCGACAAAATGAACGCAAAAATATACACCGTCTCGCGCGCGAACGTGGAGAGCCTATGGGGCTGCCATGCCTATATCCCCGCTTTGATGATGATGATAGCGCGACAGTAGCGCCACCTCTAGGTCTATTTCGAGGCCGAGATTCTGTACCATCTTAGTACACAATTATTACAAATACACGTTTACGCAGCCACTAAAAAAGCAAAGGGTACTGAAGAAAATAAAATGTTTCGTTCTGCGAAGGGTTTTCACAAACTACGGTAAAATGGTATGGCTATTTTTATCTTCACATTATTATAACATGCTGCCAAATCGACTTGTCACTTAGGATTGTTAAGATAAAGCTGAGAGAGTGGTGTAGTAACTTTGCGGCCTAACCAAATTTGCAACCTCTAGTCGTTCTTTCTTTCTTTTTTTAAGTTGGTGCGTCGTCTTTTGTGTGCATCTTGTGATTTTCAGAGTTTCAAATTTAGAGTTTGTAACTTGTTGGGTTCTATAACATGTACCATAAAGGTTTTTTTTTCTCTCTCTTTTAGGCCGAAAGCGTTCCGGTACGTTGTTCTATTTTTCTATAAGAGTAATAGCATCATATCCATTGCAACAGTGTCCCGCCCAGAAGCACAGACGTGCTCTTGCGGGCCTGGATAATTTATCTACTCGTTCATTATGCAAAAAAACTTCTGTATAAACTTATGTATCTAAGCCTATTTAAAATTATAATATTCTTAATTTTGTTATAGTTTATATGGAAGAAACAACACTGTAAACTTGAGAAGAAATGTTAAAGGTACAAAATTCTGCGTATAATATTACAAAAATACGTATTTCTTATTTTTTCGTATATTTTTAATGTGAAAAGCTTTCTATGTGTTCTTATATATGCAAAAAAAAATCTCTTTGATATACATGGTTTAGTCATATTAAGCAGTGCGTTTGAAAATATTTGGACGCATCTCTATGTTTCGGTTTCTTCTCGGAGCGCATCTCCGCTTTAGCAATCCCGCCCTCGTGACCAAAACGCGTAACGGGCGTGCGACGCCACGCATCACGCACTGGCACCGACATCAAAAAAGCAAACATCATCTGGCGGTCCGTAGGCTTTCTTACCTAGACTTCTCTACGTGCGAAGCGTGGTGGCGCACGCACGGTTTCGTTTTTTTTAGCACGGGAGCTGGATTGCCAGAGCGGAGATGCGTATCAATAAGAAACCGAAACCTAGAAATGCTTCCTAATTTAGCAGTTTGTTTCGGAAAGCCGTGAAATGGTCGCCCGTCTCTTAAATCATTGTTACCTTAAGTGAATTAAGTAGTTTTCGATTACTCGCTTCAAGTTTCTAATTAAAGCCACACCTTTCAAATTAATATTAAAAATATTTACAGAGAAATAATTATTACCCAACTGTACTGAACGCAACTAATTTTCCTTAATGGGTCCTTTGGCACAAACCTCTAAGGCATCTATAATTTTTTCTGTGCGATGCGTAGTTTTCGCAGGAGCGATTGGCCCCTTTTCTCCTAAAACATCCTGTACAATAAAAACGTACTGTATTTTCTCCACTGGCTCTCGGTATTTTCTGAACGCAATTCCGGACCCATAGGAATAATCAGTTATCCGCATAATGATACAATCAACAAACTTATTAATCAAAATATCTTTTTCAAATGTCCCTTCGTAGACAAAGTAGGTTGTGTACGCTGCTCCTACAACCTGTAAAGAATAATAAAAACGACTTAGGTATTTTAATTGAATATGGAGTCACCCGTCATGAGTAACAGTGATATTTCCCGGATATTCTCTAGGAAACATAACGGCTTCTTTTATAAATTATTCGCAGGTATAGGCAACAACTATCGAGCATTGAATTACGCTGATCACTAAAAATATGCAGAATAAAAAAAGTACCCTGTATGATTATGCTTTGTTTTACTATTGTAGGTGCGTAGGTTTGAAGGAGTGAGAAAAAAATTAAGATGGTTTAATTCGTGATATAAATCAAGATAAAAATTACACGGCCTTTACTCCTATGATTTATAAAACCTTTCCCAGAATACAGTGTGACTAAAAATAAATTGTTATAATTATTTAGTCTACTTCACATAATCTGTTTTATAAAAACAACGTTTAACTTAGTCAAAATATTATATACGTAGGAAACGTTCTCAGGGTGAAAGAACAAAAAAACACCGATATTTAGTACTAACAAATCACTGTTTCCTATTGCACTCTGATATCCGAAGCGCAGTATTGATGGGAGATAAATATAAAATATCATTGATAAAAGGCTTACTAATAAACAGTGTATGTCTCTCTCTCTCTCTCCCTCCTTTACAGTGCCGACCACGAGTACAGTCCATCGGCAAGCTTTCGCGGTGAGGTTATTACTTCACTAGTTCGGTGCTTTCTTGCGTTTCTTTATTAACATGATTGACGGTTATACCTATTCGGAGAGCAAATCGTCTGCTTGTTGCGCAGCGGTTTCGATGACGTCAGTAAGACGCCGGGCTCTGATTGGCTCAGATTGAAGGATATAGTGGGTAGACCTCAAAGCAAGCTGCCTTGAGGTCTACCCACTATCTTTCAATCAGAGCCAATCACAGCTCGGCGTTCTGACGTCGCCACGACCCCCGCGAAAGAAGCAGACGAACTTGGGCTCCGCATCGGCCTTTTTTTAACTCTAATGGACGGCCGGCAGTATTTAAGAAGACGTCGAAAACGCGCTGCTGTGCGGCAATGCTTGTGCGTTGTCGGTTATCTTCATACTGCAATATATCAAAGCTGTTTGCACAATATGTCAAAAGTCAAATTTGGGGGTTTTACGTGACAAACCAACGACGGGCATCTGGCGCGCCCCAGCGGAGGACTGGAGATTAATTTCGACCACCTGGGGATCTTTTGACGTGCAACCGAAAGCTCGGTTACACGGCGCCTTCTCCGCAATAAGCCTCCGTCAGATTGCGGGCACCTCGGCCGGGATTCGAACACAATATGTCAACATATATCTAAAGTGGCTGTTATCATAATGTATTGATGTCTTTTTCTTGTTGTATAATAATGATCTGCCATCATGTGTTTCTTTCCGCATTCATATTTTTGCGGATGATTGCGTTTTTTATCGACAAATTTCAAACACAACAGATCACATCAATCAACAAGACGACCTCACTAAACTATCTGAGTGGTGCTCATATTGGCTTATCCAGCAAAACCTGTCTAAGTGCAAACATATTCCGTTCACTAAACAAGATCCTATTTTTATACGCTTCTGCTCTATTGATTTTTTCTTAAATGAACCGTTTTTCTTTTTCTGTAATTACATTGGTCTTAATATCGATTCACATCTATCAGGGAAAGATCTTATTCATTTGCTGTTGTCATCCTGCAATCGCTCTCTGGATTAGTGAAAACATATTACTTGTTTTGCTCCTTCTAACCTTGATAGAACTGCATTTCTCTTATTAATTGGGCATAAACTAGAATACGCATTGAGCTCATGAAACCATCAATATGCACATTTCATGACCTAAATTGAAGCTTTTCAAAACCGAGTTACGCGTTTTATTTTTTCTGAGTATTCCCGCCATTCAAGCATCACTTTTTAAATCAGCATTGATCTTCCAGAGCAAGCCTTAAAGGGCCCCTAAAAAGAAAAAAAAAATTTTAAGAGTCTGGTTGGGACACGCATGTAAAACAAAACAATAATTTAACGCGAAAAAAATATTTTTAGAGCAATATTGACGGCGCGAGACGCGACTTAGTCGGCAGTCACCTTTTTTTCCACTTGTCCTCTCTCTCGGCATTTCGGGCGCATGGAGGAGAGGTGGAGCGGCTTCGCCTTCACGACCGAGATGGTCATTCTGGAATGACCCGTGACGTCATGGACTTTTCGCTTAGAATTTGAAATAAATCTCTCGCCGTCAATATTGCTCTAAAAAAATTTAGTAGAGTTTCTTTTTGACACGCGTGTCCCAACCAAACTGTTAAAAATAAAAACACTTTTTTTTTTTTCAGAGGCCCTTCAAGACGCAAATTTTCTTGCTTAAGCCTATACTCTGTTTCACCTTACGATGGACCGCAAAGGACGCTACGAGCCACTGGAGCCAATTCATACGGAGCGCAAGTTCGTCTGCTTCTTGCGCAAGGGTTCCGATGACCACGAACGCCGGGCTCTTATTGGCTGGGTGGAAAACCAAATAGTGGGTAGACCTCAAGGCATCTAGCATTGAGGTCTACCCACTATCCTTCCAATCAAAGCCAATCAGATCTCGGCGTCGTTCTGACGTCAATAAAACTCCTGCGCAAGGAGCAGATGACTAGCACCCCGCATAGCTCGGAAAGTATCACGTGTCCCTCCGGTTGGGCAGAGCGAGGCGGGGAGCGCGGTATTACGAGACATGCTACGAACTATGGATTGGCTCGTGCCGGCCGTAGCGTTCATCGCGGTACATCGTGTGGGGATTCCTGTGATCTCCCTTCCCCGATGGCTGCGATAACGGCCGCGGGTCGGAACACTCGGCCTCCTTCGCCGTGAGCTCCGACCTGTCGTGAGGCGGAGGGCCGCCTGGCTTGGGGGGCCCTCCTCTCACTCCCTCTCTCGGGGGGACCGATTTCCGTTCCCCCGCTCGGATGCGGATCACTGCTGACAGGCGAGGAGGTTTCGCCTCTTGTTTTCCCGCTTTCGGGAAAAGGACTCGTCCGGCGACCGCGAAAGAGATAGGACGTGTGTCGGCGACTTCTTCGATGCTTCCCCTGTCTTGGCTCCCCGGAACCCCGCGTCTGGCAGGTAAGGACCTTTTCTTACCTTGCCGGGGCGGGGGACATTTTAGATGGGGACATGGTAGTTCATTTAGAAGAGTGTTCTAATAAATGCTCTTGGACTTTGTCCTTACTCTGATACGTGTGTCTTCTCTACCGCTATGTTCGAGAGAGTGAGGCAAGGTAGACGATCACTGGCACCGACGGAGGTAATTAATCGAACCGACCCGCGGTAATGTAGCCCTAAACGTCATCTACATTGCCGCGGAGATGTGGGTTTGACGTCTCCTTTGAGATCGCCGCCGCTGTTGAGACAACCCTTTGATTACTTTATCGGTACCTGTGTTGGTAGCAATATGCCACAATCGTAAGGTGAATCGACCTTGCACTCTCCGGATTTAATTTTTTTTAAAAAGAACCCGATATGCATCCGCCGGTGACGACCAATATAAAATCGGTTAAAACCTCAGAACACCGGTGGTTGAATATTTTTGCTCCAATCAGAACCGAAGAAACACCGTTCGTTGGATGTTCCCCCCCTAGCGACGACTATTTTCTTCAAAACTCCTCCCCGTTGAGGTCCGTTTAACGTGATATCTCGTGGATTCTGCATCCTTCCAGTGTCCATTGAGAGGTCACTGTGGTTCTTCGAAAACTGCCAACATCAACGTGGTTCAAGATTGACCTTGGAAAACACATCTCTTCGCCTGAGGAACAGAGGTAGAGGGGACTAACAGGGATAGATTATGCCCACACCCCAGTCACAAAAGGTGCTCTGAAAATCCTGCCACTTCCACAGTAAAACGAGGATTCTATGAGTGTTATCTCAACTTTCGATAACAAAAAACTCTACTAAAAAATAAGATGAAGCTGCGTGTTTTTTCTTTTTTTTTTTTTTTGGCGATTCTAAAACTAAAATTAATGCTGCGGCTACAAAAAAAAAAATCTGTGTCAGATGAGTTTATTCAAAATAATGAATCTTAATTACTCTCGTTGTGACAGCATTTATTTACGTTGTGTACACTCAGGGTTTACACAGCCTGATTTTTTTCACCGTTAATTGCCACTTTTAGGCTCGTCACGACTCACGAGTCGTACAACCGAAATACACAGGTGTTTAAAAAATAAGTAAACAGCGAAACACGTCCGCCAATATTTCTCATTAATAAACACCGGAAAATGCACACTCTACTAATGCCTCATACATTGCATTTTCTACAAGGTTTCTCTCCGCCATGGTCTCCTCACCCAGCTCGTCTTAATCACTTCTGAAAAATTTATCGCTACAGACTACCCGCAACTCTTCATTTCTCCATTCTTTTTTTCCTAAAAGTGCCGCCTGGTGGAATGACCTCCCTATTCCCATTTGGCTGAATCTATAACCCCGAACGATTTCAGACTCTTAGTCATTTGGGAATATTATGACCTGTGTCCGGTAGAATCTTGTTGATGATTTGGTGGGTCTGAGTGATTCGATTGGTTATTTATTGAATCGCGTTTTGCCTAGATTTACTTGGTTGATAATTTATTCATTGATGTCTTCGTTTTGGCAATTCTACTGCTGTTTTAATTTCCCTCAGAAAGGTTTGTTTTCATCTCTTACGTAATGTCCCTTTTTAAAGATATATTCAATAAACAAAACAAAAATCGGCCGCATTCCAAGGAAATTTTGGGATAAGACAACCTGAATTTAAAAAAAAACATAGTTTGTGCTTTTAATAAAATAAACCTGATATAAATAAAAGTAGATTTGATTTCTATTAAATGCATTTGATTTCAATGTTGGTCAAGGACTTCGCCAACTGGGTGTAATTTCGCGGCTGACAAAAAACATTTCGTCGCTCTGAGTGTCTTTTATGTCTGTATTGTGCATTGGTTAGATCACGCCTCGAGTTCGCGTCTGTGGTTTGGAACTCTGTAACGATGTTACATAGTAATCTTTTCGAAAACGTTCAGCGTAAGTTTATAAGAACCTTATACGACCGATATATCGGCCGCCGCCGTTTCTACAATTACCATTGCCTGCTCACTGACCTCAGTCTAGTGCCTCTGCACGATAGACGAATTGCAAGAGACATGCATTTCCTGCTTCAAATTGTGCACGGTTCTCTTAGCTGGGCCCAGCTGCTGATGACGTTGAGGTTCCGGGTACCGTCAGGGAGTATATAAAAATGCAGAGATGCGTTTTATCCTGATGTGCGGGCCACTTGCCCAAAGACACGTCTGCAACAGACTCACGATGCCTTTTTTGGTGAAACAGACATTTTCGCCTGATTGTGTTTTTATCCCATACTTTTATGTACCTGTGTACAGGACAATGCACTGCTGCTCAGGACTTGGCTGTTTGCAGGCACGCAAATAAACCCCATCTATCTATCTATCTATTATATAAACGCCACTTTTTTAAAAATCTGGTTTCAAGCGCCCGAGGCTTAAACCGATGTACGATCTATGTACCAACTGCAGAACGATCATCAACTACCAGGTCACGATTGATATAGAGCGTGCTTTGTAGGCTGAAAAATCTTCATGATTATTTATATTTAAGCGGGACGTTACCGACTACCATGGACGCCAGGGTACGAATGTAACGTGGTAGTTATTGAACTGATGACAAATTTATTTAATGGTTTGTTGAATATTTTTCATTTGGTTCATTTTAAGAATTTGTTGCCCGTGGCCAAAATATACCATGGCAGTTGCTATATTAAAATTGCTCCGTGATATCAAGTCAAAACTATATTTTTGAAACCTAGCAGCTGCTACCGCCTGTCTAGACGGGCTACAAATCTTAATGGGATATGCCGTCTAAGCTAAATATTTAAGAAGATAGTTTCAGAACTTTATATGAAGAGTTCACTATTTCTCGGGTAGCGCTTATGTCCTGACGTCTACTGTGGATCACATCATCAACGTGAATAAATTAATGTCCATTTATTTGTGCTTCGAAAGTGTATTATCGGTTAAAAAGCGTCTTGGCCTATTTCGTTTACGATAACAGTTCATCGCTCCGGTCTACACTCTCTGAAATCTGGATTAGTTTTCCCCAAACCACTTTGCGGTAAACTAGTTTTCTTCAAGTCTGTCATTTCAGTCTACGCCTCTTGTTGTGTTAGCCAATACAATATTCATTTCAATATAACATGATTTCAAATAAAGTTTCGTAGGAGATATGTTAATGTTCCGACTGACCTTCATAGCTGCGCACTGTGTTAGAAGCCCAAGAATTAAGAAAAAGTCCTTAGTTGGAATTCATTTTGCGTGGTGGAGGATGTCAGTGTATAACTATTTATTCCTTGCTTTAAAATCATGACCAATGTAGCTTTGCAAAATTTAGGACTGCAGAGTTTTACATCTTCTCTGCCTCGCCTTTCTTGTTCCGTTCTCTGGCGCTTTTATTATCGTAGCAATGCACCACTAGCTTTCATTTGCATCTTGAAACAATGGCTGCCCTAATTGAGATTTTCGCAAGTGGGGGAGCCATTGCTTTTGTGGTCTGAGGGTACGTCTGGTGGCAACATTTATGGAACTACTTTTGCACAATGTAAAGGAAGTGTGTGTGTGTGTGTGTGTGTGTGTGTGTGTGTGTGTGTGTGTGCGTGTGTGTGCGTGCGTGCGTGTGTGCGTGTGCGTGTGTGCGTGTGCGTGTGCGTGTGCGTGTGCGTGTGTGTGTGTGTGTGTGTGTGTGTGTGTGTGTGTGTGTGTGTGAAGGGTCAGTGAATTTCGAGGAAAGACGCGTAAGTGTCAGCCATAAAAAAAGGAGGCGGACGCCCGTCCACGTACACGGCTGATGACGACATTGAGCCACACGTTAACTGATTCTGTCGGGTAGACTAGTGACAGTTAATCATGTGACAAATCATTTGCAGATTAGCCAAGGGTTTGCCTATGGAGTTATTCACGACAGGCTTAGGCTCGGAAAGGTTTCGATTTAAATAAATTCTACAGCCAGAGTGCGGATATGTTTTATTTGCCCTCCTAGATATTTAAATGTGTATGCAGTATTTGCTAAATTTAATACAAAGAACATTACTAACAAGTTTTCACTGCAGCATGTTAAGAACTCGAATTTGAGGGGTGGAGCGTTAATTATAACTGTAAACCGATTGAAGTGGGGACATTAATCCTAATGAAAAATTATAATATAATTTCTACAATAGACAAATCAGATCCTGTAGAAGTTACACATCAATTTCTCATAATATCTTAGGGTGTTTCCCTTGTATTGACATATTTGTCCTTGAAAAGCCGTGAGAGCTACGATAATGCGAACTGTGCAAACGAATTATACGGCCAGAGGATATATTATAGGAGCATAATCGTCACGATTATGCTCCTCGCATTTAGTGAAAATAAGCATGAATTAAATTAAATAATTGTTGAGCGTAATCAGAAAACACTAAATCGATATTTTATCAAAGATTTCGAGCGTGTGGGAAGCGCGGTGCGTTGCTAAAGTTACCGCTCGTGTAACAGGCGCAAGGCTGGCGGTACGAAAAGGCGGATGATAAGGGACGGAAAAACTTCGCGGATGTGTTTTCGCACATTCAGGCTTGTGCCTGTCGAACGAGCGTTAACTTAGCGCCCCATTCTGCGCTTCACGTTTTTTTTTTTTTTTCAGTTTATTGAATTTGTGGTTTTTGATGACACTCAGCAAGTTTGTAATTCTAACCATTTGCTTATCTTCACTAATTATAATGGGAATTAGAAAACCATAGTTACTTATCCGAGTTATTGTGACGATTAGTCCCCTATATTATGTCCCCCTGGCCGTGTAACGCACCTGCACCGACAGCATTAGTGTAGCTTTCGCGGCTTTTCTAAAGAAAATATGTGAAGACTTAAAATAGACGCCACGTTTATTTTCATGCGTTTATTGAACGGGTTATGTTTTCTTACTAATTGTACGGCTTATGAAAATTAATTTCAATGAGCGGAATCATTCATTTATTATTTTACCAGAGCCCTTGTCTGAGATAATGTAAAACTAGTCTCCCTTTAAACATTGCTTTGGAAGTTATATCAATTTACATTTAACATTCCAATGTGACCTTACCTTTGTAATGTTTTGCATTGTCTCGTACACTGGGTTCTTCCATGGAGGATCTATCGTCGCAGCAACAGCCGTGCATAAGAATATAAATAATATCCACACTCTCATCTTTCCTGACAAAGACAGTTGCTTGAACGACGCTGTTTTGTAGGAGAAATCAGATGCTACATTAGACAACAAATGACGCGACCAAGGAACGCGAGTTTAGCGATTTCGGAAAAATATTAAACACAATTGCCCCCTTTTTTTTTCTTTGTTTTTTTATTAAAAAATGTATTGATTTAAATTATATTATTATGAAGCCTTCATATTTGTGTTATGATATGACAATGATAATGTTTATTTTTCTGGTGCCCCAAAACGACCAGACGGAATTCTTTTGGGTGCACTAACGCAAACACAAAGCAGAAAAAGTAATCAAGTACTACATATATTCACACAAACCAAGTACTAAATAAAAGTACTAACAGAATACAAAAAAAAAAGAAACATGAGGTAAGCACAAGCTCGTGCAGGTGATAGTGATACCTTGAACTGGGAGTGTATACGTCAGTGCGAGATGGCACAATGATGTGTAGCGTCTACGTACGAGAGAGTGGTGGGTAGATATGACGAACAAACATCAACACAAATTAAATACCTCGTAGGACCGAAAAGAACGTCGAAATTAACTCTGTTAAGGAGGTGAATAGCATCAACTACACCATTCCCAATCCGGTGCAAAAGTTCTAAATCGCGGAGAGTTTCGCTCGATTAAAGCTTCGACGAAGATCGTGTTAGTAAATATTTTTAATTATAATAAACGCGTCGTTCAATTCATATGTTGTAAACAATATGAATACGTCTTTCCTGCATATGTTCAATAGCTAAAACATGAGTCAGCGATAATTTATTTTAAATTTTAGACTCGAATTCAAGCCTTAAAATAACTAAAAATTAAAACGTTGTATCGAGCAATGTGGCTTTTTTAAAATGCTGCGTCAAACGTCATATAATTCCTAACACTTGCATTGCACTGCACACTACAAACCAGACATGATTTCTGAAAGTTAAAGCACAATCAATGAACACGCCAGGATCCTTCAAGGAATAAACACTCATTCTATCGGTTTTCCACCAAGATGATATTAAAATCTAAGATAGCATGGCGTCAGGATTAATCAGCAAGTGATTATGTTCACACCACCCTGAAATGCGTGACACATGCAATGTGCTATAACAGTCGATAAGAAAATTATCATATTTAAACAGCTTAATGTCATCAGCAAAGAGAAGCGGCTCAGCATGCTATATTATTTATAAAAATCAAAAACAAAAAGTGAAAGCCGTTTACAACTCCCTGTAACGCAGAATTAGAGCGCAGCTCTTGAGGAGGAGGAGGGAAGGGTACTGAGGGGGGGGGGGGGGGGGGTCACGTGACCTCAGGGAGGGGGGTCGCGTGACTTCGGAGAGGGGGGGGTCAGGGGAGGTCACGTGACCTCGGGAAGGAGGGGGGTCATGTGACCTCGGGGGAGGGGGGGGGGGTCACGTGACCTTGCGGTAACGCCGACTGCGACGCCGACGCCGCTCAAGCCGGAAACGGGCGCCTAAGAGCTGCGCTCTAAAAGAGGACCCATAATTGATTCTTTGGGTACACCTGAAGTTGAAAATTTATAGCTGAATCTGTTCCTGATGAGGTGGGTGCATTTTGCAGCGCGCTTCTCCGCTATAAATTATTTTTAGTGTGTTGAGATGTAATGTAAGGAAACAAAATTATTACGTCCTTGAAATAGCGTCATGTTCAAAATGTATACCTTTGATGCGTAAAGGGGAAGTTTGCCAAGACTTACGAATCTCCTTCCTCGATATACTGTTCCCCCAGAGTGTAGTTCAGAACGCTATTGACAATTTTTATATCAGCTTCCTGCAAACTTTTGCTGTATGGAATTGAAAATCAGAGATCAAGGTTCATTAAATAGCACACAGAGGTCGAAGATTGGTCATGTACTTTCGTAAAGTTTTCTCTTTTTTTTATTGCTTTTAGCAGAATTGTGTTAAAATACCGAGAGCGAAGTGCAACAGAAAATATCGACTGGTGGATGCGCGGTGCGGATGATGTAAACTTTTGAACCTACTAGGATATTTTCGAGTGATATTTGTGTTGGACCAATGGTCCATAGCCAATACCGTCTTAATAGGTTATAATTCATCGTTCAGGAATCGCTGAAATCCTTGCGTAACTTTTTGGTATGATTTAGGATGTTTGTTTATTACTGTTATATTTTCGAGATAATTCATTTGTGCTATTGTTTCGTAATAGGAATCTACCCGTTTTGATGTGTCTCATTTCTAGTATTGTTGCTTCTGGATATATTTTATGACTTTTTGGTATAGATGAATAAAAGATGCTTTATGGTTTCATATGTGCGAACCGGTAATGCTTAAAGTGTTCAGAAAATGAGTTGTTTTTTTTCAATCAGAATCTTACGCAAGATTGTTAAATGGAACTACATTTTAGCAAAGCGTAAAATCCAGAAATAACCACATTCTCATAAAATGGTGCCAGTCGGGGACTAATAAAAAAAAACGAACACAACTGCTCATTTAAGGCTCGGAAGAAAATACGCTCCAGAAACTTTTTTCTGGGTGCGTTTCAAAAATATATATTTAGAAAAATCATAAACGCGCAGCGCGGTTTAATAAAGCATAAAAATAATTTAAACTATCTCATGGTGCGAAGCATACCTTAATTAAACGAAATACTATAGTGATGAAATACCTCAGTGTGTTATCTGATCGAAAATTATATTACAGTGGTCGATGCACAAAAATACATTACCTCAAGGTAAACTTTTTTTTAGCAATACATTTGATATTCGGAACATCTTCGTTTTCTCACGCCCTTTACACCTATACCAAGTCTAAAAATATATGTATAAACAATGTAAATTTTAATATAAAAAATAAAAATAATATTTTTTACGTGTTTCTTGGAATAAACCGTGCCGCAAAATAATATGTTCGGCCTAGAGGCAAGCTATGACCGCCCAAAGCAGATGTTTTTGAGCTGGAACGTTTTTGTCACGTTATCACGGTATGCGAAAGACTTCTCTAGGGAAAAGCTGAACCAGCAGAGGAGCGCTGTTGTCTCGAGAAAAAACCAGTAGGATTGCATAGGGAGACCATCATGTAAACTATACGGCAAGCAAGTTGCCCTAAAGGCGTCTCCCCCTTCATCAGGAAAACGAAAGCGAGAGGGATTGACCACTTGTGGTCCAAGCTCCTCCCCAGCAGATTACGGCTGTGTTCCAAATAATTATCGTATGCATGGATTCTGGGTTACTCGGATGGACCATATCACATGACAACACTGATAAAGCAACGCGTAATGCGAGCAAGTTTCTGCACGGAAATCGAGTATTTAAATATTGTGAAGTCCTCGTGTTTTATGATGCTTCGATTATGTATATTATTCTCTCCATTTCAAGTATATAAATCGAGTAAATTTTAGAATTTTCGTTTCGTGGAAAGCACACAACTTGGCTGTGAGTTCGTTCGTGGTAACTCGTATGTTAGTTATTAGTCGACCCAACAACGTACAGTCAAGACAGTCGCGATCTACATGAAGGTGGCCCGCGACAATCAACTACACCTTACTGGCAGCGTCATGAAGCGGTTGCCGATGCGGTGTGTGTGCGTTTTGAGAGCCAAACGTGGCAAGGCGCAGAAGCTGCAACAGTCGGTGTTCCATGACGGTGCACAAAGCAGTCGACATTCGCGTGTTCACCTTTTATGGATCACGCCTGTTCTCACTGCTACAACTCGCAGACAACGCCGTGAGCTGGATGCTTGGCGCGCACGCCACAGTAACCCCTGCGCAACTAGTACATGAACATCGATTATAGCTTTTTGTCTCCCCACTATTATCTTCCAATCATAGCTCGGCGTTGAAAAGTTCAAGCCTTCGTGGCTACCCTTGATATCCTTCAAATCAGAGCGCGGCTCTGCCGTTATAAGCACCTACGAAAGTAGCAAAGGAGCTTGCTCGCCGTATTTCCGTTTCATACTTATTGTACAATGCCATCAAAGCTGCTTGCGCGAACGTGTGGCTTCAGCTATAGAGTCTGATTTGCGCGTGAGCATCTGCATATGAACCGCAAGACCACACCACACGCTCGCGACAGCGACTTCGACAACGTTGTATACACTAAGTATGAAACTGAGTAGTCGCCTAAACATTCCACCATAAGAATCAGCGACTTTCTACAGCTTCAGAGAATGCCGTCGAAAGCTGGCGTCTACGCCAGCGTCGCAAGAATTATGTCTAAGGCTGCCGACACGCACGAGATGACTCTGCAGGGCGCCGGCGCATGAAGAAGACAAATCCTAGCAAGCCCTAAACCACAACAATTAATGGTATCAAAAATCTTTTTAATGCAAAAGCGGTAATTGCCCTATGGAGCGAAGCCGGTGTTGTCTGTAGCAGTAAAACGAGCCTTAAATTCCCATTGGCTGCGACGCGTCATATGTGATGCTTCGTCACTGAAGCCGTGGAGGCGGCGGTGGGCGCCGCGCCTGCACAGTGGGGGGCCTGATGTCACCGCCGGAGCGCCGTGTGGAAAAGGAAGACGTGGCGTGCTGCGTGTAGGAATGTCCTTTCGCATTCCTACACAGTCCTGAGTGTCTTTCCGAGCTTTTTTTCGTAATTATGAGAAATATGAGTCTGCTTGTCTCAAAATTTATATTCATCTGTTGAAAAGACGAATGTCCTAATTTTGGAGATACGTGATCGGTTTCATCCAACGTTTCTTTGGTGTATCTGGCCATACCTGTGGCGATGGTCAGCGTCACCGAAGTTATCCCATACTGAGAGGCCAAACAGATTGAAGCATGTCGCTGGCATAACGGCAGTAGAGTACTTTGGTAGCATCATACGTTTTGAAGTGGAGTTGAGAGAACGAAACAAAACAGTAAGCATATGAAAACTGCAAGTACCATACTTTCCGGGGTTTAAAATTTGAAATTTTTAGCTGCGCGGGATATTTACGCGTGCGAACTATACAGGAATTTTGTTTTTCAAGATCGTTCATTATGACGAGACGTGACGGATTTTGTGAATGAAAGGGTAT